TGTGGGTGCACCCACAATCGCTCTCGCGGCTGCATTCTGGACCAGCTGGAGTCTCTGAACACTCTTCAAGGGCTGCCCCATGTAGAGAGCATTGCAGTACTATGGTCATGTGATGACTATTTGTGACTTTCCTAGCTGGCTTCTGACAAGCAAAGTCTATGGGGAACCCAGCAGGGAAGATCATACGTTGCAGTCAAGTGAGGTCTCACTTAACAACCATACTGATTCATTTAATGAAGCATGGCAAAAATGGGCATAAAATTGGATGCTATCATGAGACAACTCACTTAAGAACTATGCTTCTTAACAACAATATTTCTGGTCCCTGTTATGGTTTTAAATTGAGGACTAGTTGTATGGTTTTTTTTTCTCTCTACATAGGATCTTTCTCTTATCTTCATTCCCTTAGACCAGGGGTGTCAAACCTGATTTCATTGAGGGTCGCATCAGGGTTGTGTTTGACCTCAGGGGGCCAGGATGGGCATAGACAGGGTGGGTGTGGCCAGCTTGACATCAGTCAAGTTAGGGGCGCCTGTGGCCAGAGAGCTCTGTGAGCAAAAAATGGTCTCCCAAACCCAGTTTTGGGCTAGGACCGCCTCCTGCAACTCTCTGTCAGAGAAAATGGAACTCAGAAGTAGCCCTTGCAATGCGGTGGGTCCTGCCGGCATTACTACCAGTTTGATGCACTCTGCGCACATGCACATTTGCACCTAAAAAGGTCTGTGCATGCGCACAACATTAGAAAAGGGAAAAAATTACATTTTTTCAATGAAGATTGTTCTGCTCATGTGCAAACCAGAAAATCAATCTGGGGCGTCAAGCATAGGCTTACTAACTACCGAGTTACTACCTACTCAGCCGAACCAGGCCAAATTGGTAGGAACCCACCTCTGCCTTGCGAGCTGGAGGACCAGGACGGCCTCCTGCAGCCATCTACCAGCAAAAACAGAGCTTCCCTGAGCTCTGTTTTTGCTGGCAGAGGCACCATGGGCTGGATCTTTGTGGTTTCCAGGGCAGCTTTAAGCACCCCATGGGCTGAATCCAGCCCCCAGGTCTTGAGACGGTTTTTCTCATCCACAATATCCTTCATTCCAACAAGAATCTTTTTCACATCTCCTTTTAGTATATATTTACATTTGCCAACCAATCACCACTCTCATTGATGGTATATAATTCTTGCACATTTGGAAAAGGGCTGAAATGGGCATCTTGAAATATAACCTTATCCAGACAATTATAGCAACCCTAACCCTAACCCTGACCTCCGCAGGACCTGAAGCTTTTGTCAAACTGAAAGAAACATCCCAATGTCATGACGCAAGCTCCACTCCTTTTCTGTGTGTATATGACATCACAACGCAAATACAAAAGGAGCAAAGCAATGTTGACTGTCCTCCCTTCTTCTAGACCCAATCATTTGAGTGGGAATTGGGAGGCATAGGGAGCTTTCTTTTTTAAAAAACAAAAAACAAAACCAGTTTGCTAAAATAGCCCGTATTATACTTCTGCT